CTAGATGTCCCCAGGGATGGTAGACCTCAAAACACCCCCAAGATGGGGACTACGCACCCCAAAATTGACCCCTAAAATAGGGGACCCTGCACCCTAAAGCGTCCCTAGGAATGGGGGACTCCAAAACCACCCCTGGACAGGGACCTCATGCCCCAAAACGTCCCCATGGGATGGGCACCCCAAAACCCCCCAGGACCGGGGAACCTGCACCCCAAAAATGTCCCCCAGGGACACAGGGACCTGTGTCCAAACCCCCGTAAGGGTGCGGGGACCCTGGGGACAGGGCCACTCCGCATCTGAGCATCAACTGGGACAGGACCCCATGGCTGAACACCCAACGGGAACAACGGGGACCCTGTGCCCCACCGTCACCGGGGATGGGGACAATGGGGAGCCCAACACAGCCAAGGACGGGGGGATCCAATGCCTTGATGCCACCAGGGCTGGGCACAGGGACAGGAGATGACCCCATGGCCAAACCTCCATGGGGACAACGGGGACCTCAACACGGCCAAGGATGGGGGGGACCCAACATCCTGATGCCAAAAGGGCTGGGCACAAGGCCAGGAGGTGACCCCATGGCCGAACCTCCATGGGGACAACGGGGACCTCAGCACGGCCAGGGACAGGAGGGACCCAACGCCCTGATGCCACCAGGGCTGGGCACAGGGACAGGAGGGGACCCCATGGCCAAATCCCCATAGGGGCAACAGGGACCCTGTGCCCCAACACCGTCAGGGACAGGGAGACTTCAACACCACCAGGGACAGTGGGGACCCAATGCCATCATGCCACCAGGGCTGGGGACAGAGGAGACTCCACGCCCCAGAGCCACCAAGGTTGGGGACAGGGGGACACGCCACAGCCGAACCCCAACAGGGATGGGAACAACATGGACCCTGCGCCCCAACGTCAGCGGGGACAGGCCAACCCCAACGCCACTGGGGTTGGGGACAGGGCCAGGAGGTGACCCCACGGCCGAAGCCCGACGGGGACACCGGGGACGAGGGTGACCTCTCACCAGCACTTTGCCGTTGATGCACTGGGCCAGCGGGAGCCACTCGAAGACCTCGCTGAAGAGGGCGAACATCTGTGCCGTGTACTTGGCCTTCACCTCGCCCTCGAAGCCGTAGATCTGGTTCATGTTGTCCGTCTCGTGGTTGCCTACCACCGCAAAACGGGGCGAAACGCCCCCAAAACGGTGACTGGCCGGTGGGAAAACACCCCGGGAAGCTCCCGATGCCACCGCTGTCGCCGGGCTCTACCTCGCAGCAGGTGGAAGTGGTCAGGGTAGAGGAGCTTGAAGCCAAAGAGCGTGAGGATGACCTCGACTGAGAAAGAGCCGCGGTCCACAAAGTCGCCGTTGAAGATCTGCGGCGGGTTGAGGATAAAAACGGCAAAAAAACAAAAAAAAAAACAAAAAAACCTCTCCGATCTTGCCCGTTCCTGGTGAAACTCCCCCCAAAAACCGCCCCGTGTGCATGGTGAGGATACGTAAGGGTTGGACTCGGAGGGCAGCCCGTTGAGCTCGAAGATGTTGAGCAGGTCATAGTACTGCCCGTGGGTGTCGCCGCACACCGTCACCTGCTCTGTCTGTGGGGAGAAACAGCGGGGAAGGGGGTGAGCGTCAGGCGGCCGCCCCCGGTGTGGGGGCGTCTCCTGCCAACGCCACCGTTTCGGGTGTTTCCGGCCGCCGTCTCGGGGCGTTTGGAGGGCCACCGACCTCTTTCAACGTCGTTTCCACCAACGTGGGCAGCTTGCAGAGCACCTCCTTCACCTGCACCAGGATCTGCGGGGCGGACAGGCGGTACGTGGTGGGTGTGCGCGTGGCAGTCGCACACCCGGCGTCCCCCTGCCCGGCGGTACCTGGTAGGCGCATTTTCGGTGCAGCTTCTTCTGCTCCTTGTACCACTGCATGAGGTCCTTCATGAAGGCCAGTGTCACTTTGCCGTCCTCCAGCTTGGGGCCGCTGTACTCGTCCTCGATGGCTGCGGAAGCGGCCGGCGTTTTGGGGCGTTTGGGTTTTTTTTTTCCGGGGGCCCTTTGAGTTCGGCCGGGCTCCGAGGACCCGTGTGGGGTGGTGGATGCCAGGATGGACCCTGAGACCCTCATGGGGACCCCGAGACCCTCCCAAGGGCCCCGAGACCATCGCAACCCCACAGGATCCTCTGGGGGACCACCAAACAACCCCCCTCTCCAAAACCTCATGTGGACCCTGAGACCTTCATGGGGACAACCATGACACCCCAGGACCCTCACGGGGACCCCAAGACACTCATGGGGATCTTGAGCCTCTGCCAGCGACCCCAAGACCTGTGGGGACCTGGAGAGCCTCACAGAGACTTCAAGATCCTCCCTGGGACCCCTGGAACCCCCTGAGACCCTCAAGGGGACCCCCATAACCCCCCAGGAACCTCACAGAGAGCCTGAGACCCTCATGGGGACCCCTGTGACCCCCCAAGACCCTCACGAGGACTCCTGTGACCCTCAAAGGGGTCCCAAGATCCTTGCAAGGACCCCCATGACCTGCCCAAGACCTTCATGGGGACCCCAAGGCCCCCTAGGACTTTCATGACAACCCCAACATCCTCATGGGGACCCCCATGACCCCAAGACCCTCACCAGGATCCTGAGACCCTCATGGGGACCCTCGATAACCCCCTCAGATCCTCATGCAGACCCCAAGACCCTCATGGGGATCCCCTATAGCCCCCTGAGACCCTCAGGGGGATCTCCATGACCCTGCTGAGACACCCACAAATCCCTGAGACCCTCATGGGGACCAGAAGACCCTCATGGGGACCACAAGACCCCCCCCTCCCCCAAGACCCTCCTAGAGACCACCATGATGCCCCAAGACTCTCATAAGGACCCTGAGCCTCTGCCAAGGACCCTTGCAGCCCCTGGAGATCCTCACAGCTCCTTGAGAGCCCCCCTGGCCACCCAAACACCTTCCAGGGACTCCTGAGCAACCCCCCAGGGACCTCCTGGGGTCACCCCCGAGCCCCTCGAGGGACCCCCTGAGCATCCCCCCCCCAGGCCCTTTGAGCACCCTGAAATTCCCCCAGGGACCCTCAGCACCCCCCAAGGACCCTTTAGGTGCTGCGAGCACTCTCTAGGGACACCTAGGGACCCTCTGAGGCCCCTTGAGCACCCTCAGGACCCTCCTGAGCACCCCCTGGGGAACCCCCAGATCCTCTAAGCCCCCTGAGCACTCCCAAACCCCTCCAGGACCCTCCAGCACCCTGCAGGGACCTCCCAGACCCCTTGAGGATCTCAACTCCCACCACCAGGGTCCTCCAAGGTCCCCCAAACACCCCCTAGGACCCTCTCCAGGCCCCTTGAGCCCCCCAAGGCAACCTCAGGGACCACCAGAGACCTCCTAGGCCCTCCAGGGACCCCATTAGGCTCCTTGAGCACCCCAAGCACCACCCAGAGACCACCAGGGACCCCCCCAGGCCCCCTAAGCACCCTGTAAGGAGCCCCTGGGTGCTGCGAGCACCCTCCAGAGACCATCAGAGACCCTTGTAGGCCCTTTCTGCAACCCAAGTCCCTCTCCAGG